CTAATCTTGCCAATCATGTACCATATATGTAACATGTACAATCTAGTAAAATTTCACTCGCCACACGTTCGCCGTGTTCTTGATTTTGAAAAAAAATAGGGCAATGCTCAAATTTTAGCGCAAAAAATATCAGTTACCACAATAGAATCAACTGCGACAAAAACAATATCGACAACAATCCATCTGTACCTTTTTGTCCAATTATGCTTTTTATTGATAGTTATTTAAATAACTATAATTTTACACTGAATTGAGATCACTACAGTTAGCGTTTCTCTATATTCGAACGATGTTTTTAGCCGTAAAGGTTCCCAAAGTTCTATAGGAAAAAATTGAATGGTTTGGAACATTTTGACAAAAATTATATCGAATCATTTTATTTTTTTTTACTTGTGTTTCTGAGCAACGGTAATTTTTCAGTAGAACACTTGGAGGCTCTTGTGAGCAAGAATATGCAAAGCCAGATTACTTTGTGATTACGTCGAACGGGTCCGATATATAGTCCACTAATTCACCGTTAATAATTTGTTTTGTATTCGGATCTTTTGCACAAAACCGCGCCAACGCTCAAAATAAGAAAATTAGTAATTATCCTGCTAGGGTTAAGATTGTAGATTTGGCAGGAAATTCACACTTTTAAATTAAATTTATCACAATTGGTTTTACAAACACTCGATCTTGTGCGCCTAATCAAAAAGTATAAGTACAACGCGCGCTGAGGGACGCTTGTTCCGGATTAAATGTCGAAATTCGAGCGGAATCAATTGTTTGTGGAGTTGTTTGGAGTCTCGAGTTTCTGCGAAGAATGTATCCCAGGGTGTATTAAAGGGTAAATTATTAGTAAAATGTTTGTAAATTTCCACGCGCGATCCTAACTCTACAAGAAGTACATTTGTACGCCCACTTGTACCTCCATAAAGAAACACATCCGAATGTTCCAATGTATTTTAACTTTTGCCCTATGAGCATAATAACAGAAATTTAATGTCTTTGACGAAAGTATTAATTGAAGCATATTTTCTGTGGCAACAGAACGATCCATAGATGAACCAAACTATGCCAAACTATATTTGAACAATGCTATTTGAGCCGTGAAGGTTATCAAAGTGCTTTAGAATATGTCTTATTTGACAAAAATGAATGTCGAGCCTTTTTATGTTTAATATGTTTCTAAGCAACGGTAATTGTGCGAGAGAACACTTGAGGGCTCCTGTGAGCAAAAATATGCAAGAGCAGATTTCTTTGTAATTGCGTCGAACGGGTCCGTTATATAGTCAACTAATTCACCGGTAATATTTGTTTTGTAAAAATGCCATTCGGATCTATTGTACAGAGACCACTCCAGAAATAAACAACCGCCAACTCTCAAAATGAGTAAATTAGTAATTATTCAATTGATGTTAGGAATGCAGATTGCGCGGGAAATTTAAACTTTTTAATCAAATTTATCACAATTAGTATTACGAACTCTCGAATTTTGCACGACTAATCAAAAAGTAAAAGCGTCCTCAGTAACGCTTGTTCTGGATTAAATATCAAAATTCGAGTGAAATCAATTGTTTGTTGAGTTGTATGGGGTTTCGAGTTTCTGCGAGGAATGGGCGACTCGTCATTGGTAACGAGTTGCTATGGCAATACAAAAAATAAAAATTTTGAACATCCCAACAAGGTTTAATATTTCCTCCGAGTGGGGTTATGATTTTTGCCATGAGGTCGTAAATAAGAGGAATATATATATATATATATTATCGTTGCTTGCTAGTGTCTTACTATTTTGTTCCGCCCTTTATCTGTAATACCGCGGTAAATGAAACCACTTTTTGCATAAAACAACACATAAACGGTTAACCGCTCTTTCATGAAATACAGAATTTTGGAATGATGACTTCAGCGTTATCACACTATTCTGACGCATAATTCTTACAGTGTCACACAACTCATACAAAATAGGATCGCGTTTATGTAGCAATTGTTTGTATGTTTAATTAGTCGAATCAAATTTAAAATTTTTTAAGTCGGTCCTATTGTTCGTCGAGTTGTTTAAAGTCCCGTCTTGTGAAACATGGTACAATCTATCGGGATAATTAGAATGAATTGACGGAAAATATTTTAAACTAATCGGGGTATTTACCATAAGAGTATTTGTTTTCTTCTCTGTAATATAATACATAGATTCATCACGGTCATGTTGATTTCTTCCAATTCGACCTCAAGTAGCCTATCAAAGCTTTCGATACACTTCCAAAGCAACTATATTTCAGAAAGAAAAAATTCACGTTTCTCTATATTCGAACGATACTTTAAAATTGCGTTGAGTGGGTCCGATATTTTGTTAACTAATTCAGTATCACAATTCGTTTTACGAATTCTCTAAGCTTGTGCGCCTAATCAAAAAGTAAAAAGTAAAATCGTGATGAGTAACGCTTTTTACGGATTAAATGTCGAAATATTAGGGGAATCAATTGTTTGTTGAGTTGTTTGGGGTTTTGATTTTCTGCGATGGGCGATTCATCATTGGCAACGAGTTGCTATGGCAATATAAGTGAAGAAAGAAACTATTTAAACACTCCATGGAGGTTTAAAACTCCCATCGAGTGGGGTTTGGAATTTTTCAGAACGTGGAGGTCGTGAAGTTGCCGGAAATATTGTTTTTGTACTACACGACTATTCGTTCATCGGTTTGTGCTGCGAATCGATGCATTTATTTTGACTTAAGGATTTGCCCGTGTTCCGATTCTGTTTTATTAGTTTAAAAACGCTTAATAAAGAGCTGACCGGACGAAACACTACTTATAAAAATTATTTTTGCTTGCTAGTGTTTTACAATCGGTGTCCCGCCCAGTATATGTAATAAAACGCGGTAAAATAAATCACTCTTTGAATAAACAAAACATAAACGGAAACCACTTTTTGAATAATAGTGAATTTTAGAATGGTAACTTCAGCGCCACTGCATTATTGCTAGATAGTCACAGTATTTTCACACATAATACTAACAGTGTCTCACAACTTTTGCCTCAATCCGAGATATCTAATTGTGTTGATGTAGCAATTGTTTTTATGTTTAATTAGCCGAATCAAATTTAGAAGCGTAAGGCGGGCCCATTGTTTTTTCTCTGAAATATCACATTTTTGCATTAGTTGCGGGGCATTAGTTTTGTAAAAAATACCCCCCTATCAAACAAGATAGGGCTTAAAATCAGTGCGATATATTTTGATAAATGTGAGAGCCGATATGAATACTAATGTTGTTTATTTTCTTTTATTTAAAAGTATCACAATTCGTTTTACGAATTCTCTAATCATGTGCGTCTAATCAAAATGTAAAAAGTACAAAGCGTGCTTAGTAACGCTTGTTCCGGGTTAAATTACGTAATTCGATTGGAATCAATTGTTTGTTGAGTTGTTTTGGGTCTCGAGTTTCTGCGGGGAATGGGCGATTCATAATTGGCAACGAGTTGCTATGGCGAGGAAAGAAAATCTTTGAACACTCTATCGAGGTTTAATATTTCCACCGAGAGGAGTTATGATTTATGCCATGAGGTCGTAAATAAACCAATAATATTGTTGTTGTCCAACACGACTATTCGTTCATTGGTTTGTGATGCGAATCGAACGTAACAGAACGTGAACATTAAATATTTCACATTTGGGGTTTGGATTCTATAATCTTACTAAATAGTAGCCGAGACGACGCAAAAAAATTTATATTATTGTTTCTTGCTAGTGTCTTACTATTCTTGTTCTGTCCTTCCGTCCGTCGTATGTAATACTGCGGTAAATCAAACTACTCTTTGCATAGAACAACATATAAACGGTTAACCGCTCTTTGATTAAATACAGAATATTGGAATCATGATTTCAGCCAATTGCTAGGTATTCACATTATTTTCGCGCATAGTTCTAACAGTGTCACACATCTACTGCCTGTGTTTATATAGCAATTGTTTGTATGTTTAATTAGTCGTATCAAATTCAGAAATGTAAGTCGGGCTCATTGTGCGTCGAGTTGTTTCAAGTCCCACCCTGTGAAACATATGGTGCAATCTATCGTTGTATTTACAGAAAATATTAATTGAAAATATTTGGAACTAATGACGGTATTTACCATAAGTTGTTGATTCTCTCCTGTGATGCGATATATGCACGCAGTTATTCATCTCAGTTAAGTCGATTCCTCAAGTCATTTATATATGTCAGAGAGTTCGATACACTCTCTCAGGGCAACAATTTAATGCCTGTGGACACAAACGGTCATATAAAAAAGAACCTTATAAAACCCACTCCGAGTTTTGAATTTTCTCAATGGTTTTCTCAACACGTTATGTTATTGTTAACTTGTTAGTTCCCTTTCTTGCCTCATTGGTTTACAAAAACTTGTCCCAGCTTTGTCATAATTTGTTAAATAGTAAAATGTTTTGCAGAAGTATGTGTAATATTTTTCGCCTACTTTACATCAAGTTGTATAACATACAGTCCCCGAACTCGTAATAGACCTCATATTAGGAAACTCGGAATAAAAATATGGCCTAACCTGGTACACATACTACGGTATTACTAAATTTTTGAAGTGGATTCACTATTGTATGAACCAGGAACTATATCTAAACCTTGCCATCTGAAACTGAGCAATTTATTTCGCAATATGGATAAGTGCAAATACAATATATATATTGTTTTCAACTTGTTTTCAAATTGAGGACAAGTATCAAGAGAGCCACTGCATGAGATATGCAAAAGATTTATTTGCCATTATAAATCTAGAAATAGGAAAAGGCCTGTGTGACCAAACTTAATTCTTTGTTGTATCATTTATTAACAGAAGGGCGATATGCATGCCATGTAAAAGTGTTTTGATTGTAAATTTTGTGACTGGGATATTTGAGATATACCTTGAGCTCTGTTTTAGATATAATTTTGGACACTAAACCTAAATTATTTGTGTTTCTATATTCAATAGATATTGGAACTATGAAGGTTAAATAAAACGTAAAAGTACATAGAAATGGGAGTTTTCACGTTTTAAAATAATTCCGTTCACTAAAGTGGATTTCAAGATATTGATTTACCTTGGATTAATACCAACTCTGTGAATCACTTCTATCGGAATATACGGTAAGATAAACCACAAACCGAGTCTTGGTTGAATAAATATGGCCTCGTGAATCCAAGCTATTCAGAATTTGCTACTTGGAAATGCTACAAATATGCCATGTAAAAACAAGAATATTATTGACTGGGTTTTAAGAGAGTATTTTACATTTCATGGACAAATCGTCGAAATCTTGATTAAAGAGTTTGTAAAATTTGATGTGAATAAGTAGATTCTGGAAATAGTATATAAGTGGGCGACATTTTATATGAAGATACTGAAAGAAATATAATTCCTAATGCGTTGTTGATCTTTTTATGTTTAGACTGGTTGTTTAAATGTCTTGAAAATGGCTAATCAAGGTCAACCACAAGAGGGAGCTAATAATGTGAACATTCAAGGTGAGATTTAGTTGAATTTCTTGCAATATATTCTAATACGCATTTACAATTTTCTAAAACTTATATCATATTAGGTCTGATATTTGATTACTAGCTGCCTAGTATCCGTTTTCGTGATAACTTTGTTCATTTCAGTAACTTTGGCTTTATTAGAATCTACTTTGGATATTTCATTGTAAGGGACATTCTGCTTCAATTTAAATTTCAGTTTTGAATCTTAAATTCCATTTTGTATTTCTAAAATGAATAGAGGGACATTGTTCATCAAAGCAACATAAGAAATGTAGTAAATTCACGATTTATGTACATATTATTTCAGACGCACATATCAATGAACTGCATGCAGCCAATGTAAATCGGCTTCATGCTCAGGCAGACATAGTTCAAGTGGGTGACATTCAACAAGCTCATGCAGAGTTCATTCATGCAGACAATGTTCAGAACCTTCATGTACACTATGACAATGATGGTATGTTTTTTAATTTGTAAAATCGGCTATATTTAGAATGAAATATTCATTATGCGAGCTATTTTTCCCTGAAGGTTAGGAGTAAAATTTGAATGTAATTTCTAAACAATCCTTGTTCTAGACACACGTGAGGTTTTCAGTTTCATATACATACCAGACAACACCTCGGGGTTCAAAGAACTAACTCCTTGGTTGTGCATGAAGTTTGGCTTCATTAAGTAATTAAATGGCTTAATAAAAATAGGTTCTGGCCGGCTTTCTGGAAGTAATCTATATTTTGGTGCAATATATATATGAGTGGTTCCCAACCTTTTTAGACTACGAACCGGTAACATTAAAAAAAATCTGTTGTACTCGCGACAAAATATTGAAAGGAACGAAACATATGGCAATCAGGATGGTAATACTGATAACTAACATCATAGGAATTCCCAACAACTTAACATTTGTCTTACGGCAGATTACTTGAGTGCAAACGACATTATATTATTCACCATCCCATTGAATAGCAACGTAATAATAAAACTAGTGTTGTGACAGAAGATCGCGGATAATGTTTTTGGCGCGATAAATTTTAAAACGTTGCACACTTTAGCACCTGCCCAGTTTTAGACTTTATCAGAGCTCAAAAATTGCCTCTTCGCCCCTTTTTTGTCAAAGTTATCGGCAATTTTTCTTAATATTCGTATTCTTATATATCAAATATTTGTTCATTACTCTAATGCCATACGTCAAAGCGTAGCACTCTTTTGATGTAATTCGTTATCATTAGCAGTATTCAATTTTGTGTACCCCAAGTCACAGATGAGTCCCAGTAATCTAACACCAAGTGGTAATTTACACATTGAAAATTTTAATAATTTTGAGTGTACTGTGTACTTGAGTGTACTGTACCATTACTGAGGGTTTGTTTGTCTATAATTCAGTTGATACCAAACACACCTCTGATTGATAAATATACAGCCTGCATTATTCTTAGATTGGGTGAGCTCTTTAAAAATCAAAATTGTGTACATACACTTATCCACCATTAAATTTTACAAACTTCAAAAAATTGATGACAAAAAACTTAATGAAAACAATCAGAGAATCAATGAGAACTTATAAACAACATTTATTTTTCGTTGTTGCTGTTGATACGGAAACTATTGCCATGTAAACTGACTATTTAAGTTTACTCTTAAGTGATAATCTACTATCAAGCATTCAACTTTGATTCGAGTCTAGAAACAAAATATTTTCAGCTTTAGTGTCAACATATACTTATTAAACTTAATTACTTCCAGCAGCGCCACCTCCACCAGCTGCACTACAACCTCAATTACAACATGATGCAGCATTTCCCAGGACTATGCAAGAGGAAATGCCGTCCACTTCAGGTATGGATCAAGAATCATATTAAGGTTTTTATATGAAGTAAATCTAGAGCAAAATTGCAAGCAATCATTCAGAAGTTTATGAACAATAAATGATTTGGGCTTTTGCTGTGTAAGAGACAGCTTTTGAAACTCATTTAATCATTCATGCTTCTTCTAATGAGCTTATTGAAAAGACTGATATTTCTTCATCTTGTATACACCCACCTACAATTTACATATTTATCCTGGGGGAGAGGGAAGCCAATGAATCGGCTTCATCATATTTCAAAGGTGATAAAACATCTTAATTATATGTTAATAGACCATAATCCCTCGTCTGGTTACCATTCCATGTCGGGTATGGGATTAGTTAGCCATCACTGAACTCCGGGTACATGTAACTACGTCGGCTAGAAGTCCACCAATGCTCTTGCACATAATTGTCTCTCACGGGATTCAAAACCACGCAGGCTAATCATAGCGTATTTATAACGCTTAGCAAAATTTGTGCTATGGACCTTCTGACAATTTACAAAGCACCGAACTTTAAATCTGTTCACCCAGGTTCAAACTTTTCCAAATAAAAATGGGTCAGAATTTGCAAGTCCTGGCCTTGCAAAAGATCTTTGCTCTTTTTAAAATCAGGGTCCACCTCGACAAACTTGACCCCTTCAAAAATGCTATGCCCCATCTAAACATTATGCGCCTTTAAAAGAGATCATTGTCATTTAAATGATATCTACTACACCAGTGATTCTCAACCTTTTACTGACTGAGTGACCGCGTACCCCTTCAGTGTTTTTTACGCTGGGCTTGTATGAACTACAAAGCCCCTTTTTAGGGGGGTGTCGAACATCAAATAGTGCAAATAATTACTGCCTACTATGTGGTAGTAGTCGTTCATTAGTGGTTATTTGCAATAGGACATGCTTACAGATCTGATAATTCTGACAAGAGCATCTTTTACTTAGCCAAACACACATTAGTCGATTTAAAAAAAATAATAATTGGCTTTTCAAATACTCTAAAATTTAGTATATATAGCCACTTTCATCAGGTTTCTAATAGTTTATTTATATTCTAATGTCAAAGTCCTTCTTGTTTTGGGTGATTTTGAACATAAAGTAAATGATAAACCATACAATATACCAATTGCTTCAGTTCAATTCAAATATTTCAAAAAAGTTATTATTATTTAGTTTTGCAATTCAGTGTTGCATTAAATGTGATTTACATAATAAATTTAAAAGATAAATTAGCAGCAAGATGATACTGCTTTGCTAGATACGAAATTATTATTAAACCTCGAGGCTAACTTTAACTTTGAAGTTTACATTTTTTTTTTAGAGATTGTGGTATGAATTTATTTTGGAAATGACTATTCAATATATGTAACATAGTTGTCATCTTTTAAAATTCAGGTTATGCATCGAGTACACACAGCACAGAACGACGGAATGTTAACTTAGAAATGCGCAACGAAGAGTTGCTTGTGGCAGGTGAGTGCATTAATTATTTGTTCTGATATTGTAATCTGTAATTGATTTCTATTTGCGTGTGATCCAGAATGCAAAATTTGGTCACTGTGGAAGCAAATACTTGGTTCAAAATTTTGAGGGGTTCTCATATTGGCCCATGCCTTTCTTTACTAAAACTTAGATTGTAATGGTTGTGACTTTGTTTAAATCTTTATTCAAAAACTCTAACCTGAGAATATGAATAAGCAAGTTAAAATAATGAAAACCCAAATAGTTCAAAACCCAAATATTTATATGACATGAAATTATAAAATCTATTCTCTTGGTTTATTATAATTTGTATCTATAAAACAGTATTATACAGAGAGTTAGAGAATTTTTTTTTTTTCGTCAAACCAGAAAACACATAAAATATATGATATGTAAAAATAGGATAGCAAAATGAGAAAATTAAATTTTCGGTAGATGACTGGGGGGTAACGATACGACCACGAACCAGTATTATCTTGTTGCTAATTCATCTCATCCCTCATATTTTTATTTATTGCGGCTATGACATTAAATCAAAATTTTCATCTTACTGAACTATTCTGCATGAGTGGTTGCATAACATGCATAACAAAAACGATGATTGAATGCAATATTTAAAGTGCATTTACACTGTATGCGACGCGACGCGGCATGCGCCCGATATCGATCCCCATTGTTTCAAATGTCGCCGAGTCAGATTGTGCTGAATACCAAATACCGGTATGTTTTATACTCTACTCGAATTAGCTAGTCATTTCAACTTGCTGGTCCTCATGACGCGCAATATGTTGCTTTGATGTTATTACATAAATCATGTTCTGTTTGCCTAATCAGATGATCACCCTAGCAGAATTTTTAAGATTTATTATTCTGAATGGCACTCTTGTCAATTTTGTAGGTGAATCGATATTATCCAAGGGACAAAATGCAACTACAATAATTCGTGACAGTGTTTTCAACATCATGGGAGGCTCACAATATGGTAAATTAATTCATTTTGAACCTGAAACAAGAAAAAAGTGGTACAAGTCTCTAGACCAGGGGTGTGCAACCTTTATTACGGAAGGGCCAAATTTAAGTAATTCGACGAAGCCGCGGGTCGCACCTTTATACAAAATATATTTTTAACTAAAAAAATAGCTAGTTTTTCTTATATGACAGTGAGACTCAGGCACTGACATATGCTTTGCGACTCAAAAGGGTTGAAATTCGTTCAACTCTCGCTTTCAGATTCCAATAGTTTGCCCAGTATTGGACAATTACCTAGATATTAGATCACTTCGAATATTGCCAAGTTGTCCTATCAATTATGTCAGTGTTTTCATTTATCCAGCCAATTGACTACATAATCATGGCAGGACCATGAAAGATGAAAAACGATGATTTTTTTCATTGCACTAAAATAAATTGTGCTTATGGGATTTGTTGCAGACCTTGAGATTTTGAAGCATTCATTTTTTTCATATGCATTGTCGTCTTTTTATGAATAATACGTCGGAATTATCATTCTTATATTTAAAATACCGTAATACTCTATCTAATGCCATATGTAAAACAAAGCACTCTTTAATGTAATTTATTGTTATTAGCAGGGCTTTTTCTCGTTAGGCACCTGGAGCCACAAAATATTTATTTCAAACTCCAAGTAATTTGACACCTAGTGGATACACATTGACCAATGTTTATCAATTTTGAATATACATTCGTCTTTAGTATCAAAAGATTAGATAAATTATTTAAAATACAAAATCGCAATTGTATACTTACACCCATCCACCCTGACACTTATTCACCATCAAATTTTGCCAATTTTAAGAAATTGATTAAAACCTTCTTTTAAATGATAACAACCTCATGCCAACTAATAAAGAAAATTTATTTTTTATTTCAACTGTTGAGACAAAAACGATGGCCATGAAAACTGATCTACTATTTAAGTTAAGCATTCGACTTCGGCTCTAGACCAAAAGCAGAATATTTTCAACTTTTTTATCAACATAAACTTACAAAACTTAACCATTATAGCTCTGCACCCTCCAGCTGTACCACAACCTCAGGTACAAGCTGATGAAGCTTCAACCAGAACTATGCAAGAGGAAATGCCGTCCACTTCAGGTATGAATCAAGAATTTTTATATGCAATAAATCTAAAGCAAAATTACAAGCATTCATTAAGAAGTTTATGAACGATGAATGATTTGTTGAACTTTGATTTGTTGAAATGGTTAAATTTTGCAGCTTCTGAAACTCGATTTAATCAGTCATGCTTGTTCCAATGAGCTTAGTGGAAAGACTAGTATTTCTTTATCCTGTATACGCTGACTATGGGTATTATGTAAATAACAGAATATGATTTATTTATATTTATCCCGGGGAAGAGGATAGTTGATAAAACAACTTCATCGTATGGCAAACCATGGTCTCTCCTCCAGTTACCAGCCCATGTCAGGTATGGGATTAGTTAGGCAGCTGTTTGTTTCAGATACATGGACTTGAAGGTGGAGAAAGTCGTAACCGACCACTGGTTACATACGCCGGCGAGAAGTCCAGCAATACTCTTGTACCTAATTATCCCCACTGAATTCGAACTCACGCAGGGTAATCAGAGTTAGGCTGATTTTAAACAAACTATGCCCTTCGAGTAAAGTTATTTCATTTTTCAACAAGCCATTCTGAACACTCTATGTCTTAGCGCTACCTTAGAAATGTTTTGTTCAAATTTGCCTTCATTCGCAGCACCCTACTAAAATATAATTCGAATGAATTTATGATATTTTCAGTGATTCAGAAACATATTTCAGTTTATATTTATAATTCAATTCAGGAGAAACTACAAGAGCTCAGAAAATGAAGGGATCCACTGATGCCAAACTTGCCTCAGATGGTTTTCCTTGTCCAGTCTATGAAATCGCGCCTATACCATCAAGTAAGTGTATATTCATATCTATCAGTGCTTCGTATACATCGCTTATGCAGATTGAAACACTTGTAATAATTGGATCTCCGCTCTCGGAGACCCTATTCTCTGTTGTTCTGTCCGTTTGTCTAGCTGTAGCGTCTCCTGTGGCGGGGCCGATCTGTATAGTATTTCTCACATTGGGTCATTTGTCCTCCCAATGTGCGTTTTACCGGAAGTCCGGATTGGATTTTTCGTTTCCATGGCAGCAGCAAAAAACACGCCAATCGTTGGGAAATTTCAAATTTGCTCACATTTTTCTACCGTTTTCTGGTCAACTATTTCAAAAATTGAAATTTTGAGAACGCCACCCTCCGCCTAAGAAAATACTTTTCCTAACAAGCCATTTTCCATCTCAATAAACCAAAAACTGGAGAAGTCTTAGTAAATTTAGAAAACATATTTTATTTGTTAGTTCCAGTATACCACACCACGTATGCAAGAATGTGGACTAGACGCACAGATCTTAAAATGAATAGTATTGGTGACGCGGGCACTGTAGTATGGTTTTGTAATAGGTGCAATTTTGAGTGGATGTAACGAATTGCTGGATTAAGAGCCGCCTCGAGTATCATCGAAGATCTTATGCACCTACCGGCTTGTTGTTAATAATTGGCACTTAGATTTGAAAGATGTGCAAGAGTGATATTGCTTTAGTTTACTTCGCTCAAATATTCAAAAGCTATCTCAATTATGAGACAATGAAGAGCGATCAACGCAATACTGCCCTAGCTCAGTGGTTCCCGTCTGCTGGTTTTTTTGTCGGTCCATGAGAAATTTGCTTTTTTGCCAGCGCATCCCCTTAAATTACTATTAAAAATGGACTTATCATCGAGTACATATTGCGGATGTTTTTTATACACAAAGAAAATATTCAGTCGCACATTTTCACATGTCTGCTGAAAACTGTATTTACAATTTGCCCTTCTGTTGTCCTATTTTATAATTTATAAATGTTTCGCACAGTCAAAAACACAAGCAAAATAGACTTTTAGTCAAATAAGATCTCGTTCATATTCATTCCTTTTTATTTTAATGCTTTGTGTTTATTTTGATTTGATAGAACAAAGAATTTCATATTTGATTAATTGAATGCTGGGTAAAGGCTGACCATTTGCATCATCATAAACAACCAGAAAATGAGTTTATTTCTATGAACCCGTTCAAATTACCAAAGTACAAATTCAAAACATTTACAAAATACCTGATTTAATTGACTTTCCCAAGTCAGATATTTGTATAGACCCGTATATAATGTCAATAACAATAATTATTTAACTTGAATAATAAATGCATTCATATCTTATTCAGGAATCCGTACAAAAAAAGGAATTGGTAAAAAGGCAAAAAGGAAACGAAGAAAGCATGCAAAAAAATTTATCAAATATTTCAACAAGAGAACCCTGGAGCAAACAAAAGTGAAAATCACAGAAGATTACAAACAGCTAAACCTAAACGAACCAGACTTTGAAGTAAATCCCCAACTTAGAGAAGTGCCACATTTCTACAGAGGAGAAATGGCCCCCAAGACTAGGCAATATAATATCGAGACTGGATTCACTGTCATAACAAATGAAGAAAAATTTGGAAAACCTATTTCTCATAATGAACTCATAGAAAAATTAGGCAACAAAAAATACAGGTATATTGCCATATTGGGACAGGCAGGTGGTGGGAAAACGACAAGTATGAAACGCCTTGCACGAACACTTCATATCACAAACAAATTAGGAGAAGAAGCCCAAGCCGAAGAAGCATTGCAGCTGGAACATCGCTTTGAATTTATTCATCACTTGAACATCAAAGATATCCCCGTTTTAAAAGGAACTACACGAGATGAAGCCATCAGTCCATTTGAACTTCTTTTTGGGAAAGAAGCTTCAGGACTCTCACCACAAGAATTGGAAGAAGGCTATGAACGGCTGCAACAAAATCAATCAAAGTCAATTCTTTTTCTTGACGGACTTGATCAAGCAACTTGGACTATTCTCGGCAAACACAACAAGATGAAATATACCGATAAATCTAGCACAGCAACTGTCATGTACAATATCATAACAGGAAATCTCTTTCCTGACATGACGATCGTGATTTCATCGCGCGAGTTCAGAGTGGCATCACTCCCATCAGAATTGAGGCCGCAATTCATAACTGCCCTCGCTGGTCTGGCTCAAAATGATATCAAGCGTTTGTTCATTGCAATTATAGGAGACAGCGGTGAAAAAGCTTGGGAGAAATTAACAGTGCAGTCACCCGCACTTATCCCGTTATCATCTGTTCCTCTTTTCCTAATATTCAATGCAATCGTTTGCAAGGACAACCCAGATAATCCACCAGATACTATGACTGAGGTAATGCTACAAATCCTCCACATCTTCATGCGATCAGATCATGCCCATAAAAAGGAACCTATTGAAGAAATACTCCAGAAACTGATGCAAATGTCATTCGAAGGCACAAAAGAAAAGCGAGTCATTTTCACAATCAAGGATCTCGAAAAAGTAAAGCTTAGTCCTCTTGAGGTTCGGGACTTTGTCATCAAGGTACCTGGGAAAAATATGTTCAATCAGCATCTCATGGAAGGAGACCATCTAATGTTCTTCAGCCATCAAATCCTTCAAGAAGTATTATCCGCTCTCTATATTTCAAACATGGATTCTATTGCGTTTCGCACCTTTATCGAAACTGAGATTCGAGACGATCATTGGGCAGTTATTCGACGTTTTCTAAGTGGAAATATTCTGAATCCTGATATTGAAAGCAGTCTTATAACAAATCTTTCTTCTGGTAAGTAAGATTTCATTTCTTTTACACCAATTTTGAATTAGTTTGACAACTAGGAATTAACTATTTGAAAGAAAAAGTCAACAAGAAGGATTAATCATATACTGAATTGTGGCACTCTAGTCTAGTGAATGATTAAACCATGACCAATCGGCAGATACTTTTTATTTCACTCGTTAACTCCAAGAAGTCCAATAGTACCGTATACCCATAACCCCACACAATAAAAACCTACGTTTACCACATACAATAATCATAATATTTTCCTAATTACCAGGTGCCAGACAAGATGATAAAAGAGAAATTCTAAGAAAATTTCTCGCACATCAATCAAGTCAAGAAATGGAATCGTATCAGAAGTTGGAGCTGTTTGGGACATTATACGAAGCTAATGACACCGATCTTATTCGTTCCTGCATCAAGTACATCAATTTTCACACGAATCCTTCACTACAGTCGGAATGCATGCAATGTCATCGGTCATGCGACGTTGCAGCCAACTAGATCAGGTTCGCCTCTCCAATTGTGGTCTCAATGCCGAGTTGGTTCATATCCTGAAGTCAAATCTAAATGGTTCTTCTTTAAAGGTATGTTTACCATTCGACATTCCCGATTTTGGGATGTTTTTCAGTCGTTCTGGCGATAGACTAAAATATCTCGGTTTTGCAGTATGACAGTCATAAATAATTTTTCTATTTGATACTATTACAAAAACAAAATATTTTTTAACGGAGGGAGCCGATTTACCACTGATTTGCGTCTTACTTCACTAGTTCAGATAGAGAGAAAAATTGGTATAATATAGTTGTGATATGAAGTATGAACCATGCGTTAATTTAACACACAACTGTACTGTCGTTGCATCATGAAATGCGGAAACAAAGTGCAAGTTTTCTAATGAGTTCAACGATTTTCATTATTTGAAGCAAAGAACAATAAAGGTTTTTTTAATAGGATTTACAGCTAATTCTGATTTCTTTATTCTACCCACAATGGTATAAAAAACATTCAAACTATTACCAAGCCCATGGTATAGAACCAAGGTTGGCTTGTCCAATTCGCGGCGTCCCGTTTTTTTTTTTTTGCTTCAGAAATATGGTAAGCCTATTCAAAGGTGAACATATAATTTCAAACTTAGTGGATTGCGATTGAAATATTTTATCATAATTTCAAGCACTAGATGTGATGTACGTGATATTTTTGTCTCCTAATTTAATTATTCAAAATATCCCGGCAATCTGCGGACATAAAATTGCATGTAAACCATTCAATGTTATTTAGACTTGATTCATAATATTGCGATCTTGTGATTCGTTAATGTCGTTAAAAGGATTACGAGATCTGAGATAAAATCCCAAAAAAGACAAGAGTACACGAGATGTTTATTAGTACAATACAAAAGTGATTGAACATACATTGAATAATTTATATGAAAAAGGCGAATTGCCGTTGGGACGGTTATTTAAGATCTCCTGTTTAAACTTCAGTTACTATATCGTATCCTTTCACATTACCGATAATAATAATATCTGCCGCGATATACAACATCTAATAATCTTTTTATCTGTCATGTGGCTGGTAAAACAAAATGTATGTTATTTTTCGTTTTATTTGTAGTATTTTATAGAACCTTTTTTCAGTCATAATCATCACTCCCTTATTTTCAGTCGAAATTTCAAGTGCAGATTATTCTTTTAATTATCCTTTCGTGGGAAGAGAGACAGTGTATTTGCGGAATTAGAGTTTACTGACCAAAAAGCTATGTTTACAGCCACACTACATACTAAGCTGACGAAGACAATCGAAGATTTTAACAAAATTAGCTCTGTGAAAATCGCAGTTTTATTAGCGACTTGTTCGGTCCTACAGTAATTTTAAAAAAGAGGCATTTCAAACCAGAAACCTGCTGCTGTACCACTGCTTGCAATGTGATTATCAATGAATAGTTAGTTACTCTATCGATTTGCTCTTTACAGTCTCGACAAAACTAAATTTTGAATAGGTCGCCGATGTATTACTTTGCATTCAGACACACAATGCGTGTCTCGCTCCTTAGAAAAAGTTTGGGAAGGGGAAGTCATGAGAGAACTGGCTATGCCAAGGTGGTCCAACCGCTGTCAGCAGCATGATTATCTGGGGCCGGCGACGCATTGACTGGAGTGTAATTAAAAAAAAGTGAGTTATTGTTGATACCACTTTAATATTGCATGTCGTTATATATAACCATAAAGACAAAATCTAGCTCAACACTATTGCTACAAGTTCATACTCTGTCAATTGAAGACTGTTAGATTTTCTATAAACTTGCACAAAATCAGATTCTCCTTTATGAGGTTATGAATAGGACTCTGGTTTAAATTGTTTAAAATGTTGGGGTTCAACAAACGCTCCCAGGAACAACGTAGGAGTTTAGTTTAGTATGTCTTAATGATATGTCATACCACAGCCTCTTGGTAGATTACCACTCAATGTTGGGTATGAGATTAGTTAGCCAGGTATTTATATCCAGATGCATGGACTTGATGGTGGAAGAAGCCGTAACCAACCAGCGGCTACCTCAACCACCCCTACGGTGTTGAGGAGTTTTGCAATCCTTTAGCACTTAATATCTTCACAGAAATCGAACCTGTGAACACATGCAGAGTAATCAGAGATGCGGTGGCATGTGTATTTCTGATGCTTAGCTCGATGCACCACCCGCCATACCATGAAAAAATTTAATATAAAATTATTGCTAATATTTATTGGATAATATCATATTCAATGAGTATTGGTCAGAGAATCTGAATAAAAATCATAAGTCCAATGCTTAAAAAATAGGGACAGAATGGTCTAATGACTACACCAAATTGTAATTTATTATGGAGATAGTGAATTTTCTACAATAATTTCGTAACATTGGTTAGCAAGATTTTGACAGGGATGTGTGACAATTAAAATTTTAGAGACTCAAGACACATTTTTCCCCATGCAGGTTGGCAAAAAAATATTTTCGTTCCCAGCTAGATTTATCTAGATTTCTTATTAGCTTTTAACATGTACGTTGAAAAAAAATCGCATTTTTTCTTGAAATTTTGTGAAAATGGTAGAGATTTCTACAAATTGCCCTTTTTGGGCATTGCAACATGGCACAACATAAAGCACAATCTGGCGCTATCTTATAGTGCTTGTGCTATTACAGAGATGTTTTT